TAATGGAAGTTTCTTTTAACAAGGATTGTGCATGACTGTATTTATGTTCTGCAGGACAGTTCATTATTTTAAGATTAAAAAACAGGACAAAAGACCTATGAACATTAGTGATTTATTAGTTTGAAAAATCAATAACTAATTAAAGAACAATACTGGCACAATAGCAGATGGGGTAAATGAACTGTAAATAAATTTAGGCTGGAAACTAGAATAGTTTTCAACCATCAGAGAAGTGAGAGTTTTGTGTCGGGGGAGAAGGGGGGGTTTGGAACAGTTTTTCAAGAGTTGGATGTTTGTAAACAGAATATATAAATTACACAATTCAGTTTTCTCCAGTTTCAGGGGTCTGGGATTGAAGATCCAGGAGGTTTCATACATTCCTTCACTGTCCCTAAATTTAGACTTTTATTTTCAGGTGTTTTTTGGAGCAAGTGCCTTGTTTGTACCTTTTATAGATGAAGTGATCAGCTGATATCAACTCGGAGACTGTCCAGATGGGTTTTGTGTTTTGTTAAGATCATTGTGACATAACTAGTCTAGATCTCTCCATTTCAAATTAGGTGTGCTCTAGTAGTGTGTAGGCAGTTTATTCAGCTTCTTTGTAAAAACGTTCTCATTTCAGACATCTGCAAGGCAGGCATGGGGGAGAGGTGTCATCTCATACTTTTTTACAAAAGATACTTTCATGGAAACATCAAGGTTTGATGCTGCTTTTGGCAGAGATTTCTTGCAGTTTTTCTTTAGCTAGACACCAGGCGTCTACCTCCTTAGATCAGTTAGTCACCGTGAGTAGAATTTTCTATGCACAAGACTTATACCTAACTGTAATTGGAGTTCTTCAAGATGTGTTTTCTGCCTATATCTGTAGACGTGCATATGTTTTTGCAGTTACAAAGTCTTGCAATTCTATCTTTCTTCAGTGGTAAAGGATGTGAATAGGTACTAGGGTGCTACTGCCCCTAAAGACTCTGTTCAGGGCATGTTTACTGAATATGTCTACTGCATATCTCAAAAGAACTTCAGTTATGGGATAAGTATATATTTTTTTACTTTTTAACAGTATTTTATGGGGTTATTGATTACTATGAAACATAAAATGTTTCATTTTTCTTAAATAAATACTTTTATCTCTCCAGTTGATGGTGTGTACTTATTCTGTTGTTAGTCCACTAACTGAAAAAACTAATTTTATAAAACTATTATGTTGGTGTCTGTGACATTATTGAATATTGTTTGCATTAGGGTAAACTAGTGAACTTCTTTGTTCCACCCCAACCTAATGAAGGAAGCAAAAAGAAAAGAGCAAAGAAAATAGAGCTTAAATTGAAGGAAAAAATACAGTATCCCAGTAAGTATTTTTGGAGAGGCATAATGTTTGTTTATAACATGCTTACATCTGAAAGATCTAAACTTTTCTTGTTGAGTACACTATTGGCAGTTTGGCAGGAGCTCAAAGATTGTTCTTGACTGTATAAAATGGAGCAATTTGATTGATGCTTTATTTGGCCAAGTACCTTATTTGCACATTCTGTGTTACTGGCTCCCCCTCTAACTGTTACAGGTATTGTACATTTAACTGGAGACCAGCTACACATGCAAAATAGCTATTACGCCATAAAAAGTTCTAACTGTCTATAAAGGTAGACCTTGAAAATGTGTTCTAACTGTATACCTGTTTGTTATCAAGCTTTAATTTGCACGTGTAGCAGTATCTCTCCTATGACTGGGAGCCCCATCATCCAGGTGACGGGGCTCCCAACCAGAGCGGCGCACCATGCCTGGCATGAAACCGCCACGCCCTAGAGATCAAGGCAACTGTGATCCCAGGGCTCAGGAATGAGTGAAATCCCCGAGCCCTGGGGATTGCAGCTGCCATGATTCCTAGGGTTCAAGGGCATGTGAAACCCCTGGACCCTGGGGATTGTGGCTGGCACTATCCGTATGGCTATGGGATGCAGGAAACCCCTCGGGCCAAAAGATCGCTGCAGGGGCAATTCCATCCCAACCTGTAGGGCCAGAGGATTGCTACAGGGGCACCCTCATGGCTGGGAGCCCCTCAACTGTGGTGCAGGGGCTCCCAGCCAGGAGAGCTTGCTTCTTGCTGCTGCACGGGGAGCCCAGAATCAGACTTCCCCTGCACTAGCAATAAGGTATGATGGGATCTAACGCATGATTATGTGAATCGTGCATTAGATCCCATCATACCTTTACGTGCACAGGTAGAGGGGGCCTAAAGTTGATTGTTATATTTCTGTTATGTGTACTCTTGATTAGTATTGAATGTCTTGACTGAAAAGTAATGGCCTGCGAGACAAGCCTGAGCATAACAGCTGCTGTCACTGCTAACTATATTGCCAGACCTTAGTTTCTTTTGCAGCTTTCTAATCCACTTGCAGATAATACTGTGTTTTAAATCTCTTATTTAAGTGTTTTCTTCTATGTAACTTTTTACTGTATTTGAACTGGGGTTTTTTTGTTTTTTGCACGTAGGTTTACGAGTGATGATATTAACAGCTGTGAAAGAAATGAATGTGAAGAAAGGAGCTTCCATCATTGCAATATTTAAGTATATTAGTGCCATATACAAGTATGATATACAGAGAAATCGAAGGCTTCTTAAAAGGACTTTGGAGAAACTAATTGCAGACCAAGTAGTAGAACAGGTCAAAGGCCATGGATTGGCTGGATCTTTCAAGTTAGGGAAGAATTACAAGGAACAGAAAAGGCGAGAAAAAAACAAAGAGCAGGTAAACTGTGTTGAAATAGCTGTTAAGGCAGATGTTGCATAGGATGTTTAGCTTTGCTACTTGTATGCTGTCACAATAGTGATACAATTCGAAGTGTTGTCTGTGAGTGCTAGACTCAAGGTATTTAGTTTATTTTTAGGGGGAAAAAATTGAAGCATTTACTGTGAAAATAGAAATTAAAAGTTACTGTATATGGACATCCCAAATGGATAAGAAGGGGATGGAACTAATGTAGGTCAAGTATGGAGACTAAAGACTTTGAATGGTAAAAAAGGCAAACATTGTTGGAAGGGTTGGCAGTTGCCTTATTATTACAATCAAGAAGTTCTGTGGAAAACACTGTAAACAAAACTTTCCAAATCAGAAAATATATGAAATGTTTATAATTTAGTTTGGTGTAGTTATACTTCTTCACAAAAGAGCAAAAAAAATATCTGACAGTGATTTTTTTTTATTTTATTTTTATAGGTAACAAAGAGGTCTGAAAGGATTCAGAAGAAATGTTTGCCTGATGCTAAAACTCAAACCAAAGATTTGGCGAGTAGGAAAGCAGCCACTGAAAATGTCCTTAAATCACCACAGTTTGGCAACATCACTCCAGAGGAGCATGACTATTGTGCAACTACCAGAAATAATAGAAAGTCTGAGACGGGTCATAAAACCTGCATCAAAGAACAAAATTCTCCAAAAGTTATAGACCTAGAGTCTGACTTGCAAGGAAACCTCCTTGTGTCCAGTGACACCACCAATTCTACTGTTATTAGTATACCTAAAAAATCAGACGATGATGAAGTCCAGCAAAACTTCTCGGAGGGCCAGTGCTCAGGCTCCCAAGAGCAAGTCAGCAGTGGTGTACAGCATGCCAGTTCCATATATCCGTTCAATACTTCTGACTACCGTTTTGAATGCATTTGTGGTGAACTTGGGTTGATTGATTGTAAGGCCCGTGTGCAGTGCCTGAAGTGCCACCTGTGGCAACATGCTGAGTGTGTAAACTACAAAGAAGAAAACTTGAAGGTCAAGCCCTTTTACTGTCCTCATTGCTTAGTAGCAATGAAACCAGTTTCCACAGGAGCAACTCTGATAATCTCTCCAAGTTCTATCTGTCATCAGTGGGTGGATGAGATCAACAGGCATGTGAGATCATCTTCCCTTCGAGTCCTGGTAGGGTGATTTTGTATTCTGGAAAATTATACTATGGTTTAGGGCTGTCTTCCTCCTCACCCCTTCTCTGTTGTCTGAGTGCCTCCCCAGGAATATAAAGTTTTGTGCCCTGACCCCTTCTGGGGTAGCATCCCCATAATTAGACTGGGTCTTGGGCTACAGCAGCCTGTGGTTTAACTGTGCTTACCTGACTTGTTCAGTTACCTGCAAGTCTTCTTTTTCATCAGCTTGTGATCTTTATGCCTATTTCATTTATTGTTTGGAACAGTAGAAACAAAGTAGGACATGAAAGAGAGCTACATGCTTATCTCTCACGTAAACAGTATTACTGCCATGAAGTGGAGAGCCTGGTTTAGACCCCCCAGCAAATTCTGTTTCTGTGCCTGCCTGGTTGTCCTCTATGAACAGCTCCCTCAGCTGCTTCCCATTTCTCTCTAGAGAGTGACCTTTTCATTTGTGTGGTGTACTTCTGATTTCCAACTGTGACAGAAAGAGTCTTTTAACTTGGATGGTACCTGAAAGCAGCAACTTCTCAACTAATAGCTCAGGTCTTGCCTCTCATACACTTGCCAGGATGTGGCTTATCTGGAAATCTTTTATGTTACTTTTTTTATTTGGTTCCTAGCAGCTGTACCAGTAAACTCTACTGTCATGTGCATACAAACGAGCATTCCAATAACATAATAACTAGCACACCTAAATGAATTATTAACTATATTTAACAACTCAATTATAGACTCTCAAACCTGCAAAGTCAAAAGATATTCACATGTAAAGATTACCACTGAAATCAAAAGAACTGTCCATGTATTAAAGTAAGTCTTTATAGGACTGAAAACTTATTTTTGCAACAGCTTTCATGAAAATTATCCCAAGTGGCTCTGTACAGTAGGCATTATCATAAGTGGCTCAAGTTGCATTTCCCGTAGTTAAGGTTAGGGAGTGTTTTTGATGTTAAGTTTCTGTTTTCAGTTGCTTAAAACTTTTCTAACATTAAACGATTCAGGATGGTACCTATCCCAAATGGAATTTCTGTAGGGTTTTTTGTTTGTTTGTTTTGAAATTACAGCTAAAACAGTTCACTCACTTCTGAAAACAAGGCTAGGAAAAATAGTTTTCCATGTTTTAAAAAAAAAAGTAAAGAAGATACTCTTGCATCAGATTTACTAAGGAGTTCTGCCACCCTTATCTCCACTTGCCATATTTTGAAGCATGGACTTTTGTCAGGAGGGTGAACTGCACAGCATACTTGCTGTTTTGTGAGAGGTCATGCAGATGTAGCTACTGTAAACCTCTGAAAACTTTTCTCACAAGCTTAGTGGATGTTTTTAGTTTGGCAGCTAACTTTACCAAACACTAGCTGCAGTGAGCATGCTGTAGCTCAGGGGTGGGCAAAATGCAGCCCGGGGGCCAGATGTAGCCTGCCAGGCCATTCTATCTGGCCCACGGGGCCCCTAAAAAATTTAGAAAATTAATATTTATCTGCCCTGGGTTGCTTGTCATGCAGCCCTTGATGGCTTGCCAAAACTCACTAAGCGGCCCTCTGCCCAAAATAATTGCCTGCCCCTGCTCTAGCTTCTCGTAGTTTCTGTGGGCCAACTGAATTTCATATATCCAGTAACCACAGCTAATAATTGTTGGTCCTAGGACTGCAAAGGCTCAGCAAAACTTAATTGCAATTATTTCTTCAGGTTGAATGAGACTTGTTTTTGCTCCAGACAGGAACCCAGGGAGGAGGAAAATGGAGGGGAGAGGGGGGAATGTTACATGCTCATGGATTTTTAAGACTGTCATAATTTGTACATGGGAAACAAATTAAGGTTTCATTAACTTGTTCCCCTTTTTGAGTGATTTGTACTAATTACGAGTTTTTAATCTTTGATGCCTGTTTTTGCAAAATAAAGGTTTTTGGAATATAGCATAGTATACCCTACAGGAAACAAAGATTAAAAAAAATTGTGTTTATAGAATTGTATACAGTTACTTTACATAAAGTTGCTGATTAAAGCATTCTAGAATGAGAAAAGAACAGGGGCAAGGGAAGGGACAAAGCTTGTTTTAAGATGAGGTTTGAAAATAAGTTAATTTCTCTAGGTAGAGAAGTGGGGAAAGTGCTAACTAGGATGTCTTGTACATAGTTATAATTGGAGTTAAAGCCCAGAGGAGGTTATAGGAGGGATGTTGGTGCCTACATATATGGGTGGGAGTAATGACAGTAGATTTTCAGAAAACTGTTAAGTAAATGGTGAATCTGCAGTTTTGAATTGGATCTTAGTAGGAATAATGAAGAAGTGGAATATACTTGGTGATATGATGGGGAAAGAAAGCACGTAATAGGTGCACATCTTTAGCAAAAATTGCTAATTGCTTTAATATTAGGTATCTAAAAATCTTTGTGGGCAACCACATGTTTGTGCATTTTTACACTCGTGGATGGTATTTGTTAAATTCTACACCATCTGAAACATGACTGTTAGTATCTTAAGGTATTCAAAATATACATAAAGAAAAGATTAAGGTTTACAATTTTTACTACATTTTGCTTCAGATGTAAAATTTTAGCATATACAAGTATATTAATTACACGGTTTTATTTAACATATGCACTTACTATAAGCTTTTGTATGCTTCAAAGGGATTGCATTAAAAATGTTGAGGTAAAAGAGGGACAGATGCATTCTGCTATAAATGACAAAGCTGTTTTTCTTGTCAGACTTCTGGCATTTCTGATAGAAAGCCATTACAGAAAATGTACGTACTGTTGATGTGCAAGCCGCCATTTTTCATATCTGTTTCTCTTTTTTCACTGATTCTGCTCAGAGATCTCATTTGAGATTAGAAATAACAGTGTAGCCCATACCTTGATTCTGTAAATGAGGAGCGTCAAACTCACTTGGCTCTGTTATCTGCAACAATTGTGCAGGGCCAGACCATGGATAGGCCAAATCAGTCCAGTATGTTGGGCAGTCTCAGCACTTGCACCATGTGCAGCACACATTGTAGACCAGCACGGGTCTGCAGTGCATTGGCCCTACATTGCATGCAGCATATGCAAGGCTGATCCAGCATGCATCACATCCAGTGTGAGGGTCCATTCTGAGACTGACAAGCATCATCACCGTGACCAGTCAGTAGGTTTTCATGGGCCAGATCTTTGACATGCCTACCTTAAATTGATTGTATGCTGCAATCTTTGCCTACTCTTCCATGATATTCTTTAGTGTCAGAAACAAACCAAAAAGCATAACACATCTGCTAGAAGGGAGGCAGAGAGTACATATTTTAAGTGGCTTTTTTCTTGATGTGGTTGCATACACAACTGTCATCTGAAATATTGAAACCTATCTTTTTTTTCTCTAGGAAGAAATACTCAGAAACATTGTTGCCTTCACATTTTATATAAGTAAATAAAATATGTTTGAGTACAGATTTTACAAAATGACATTACTTAATGTGGGGAACTTTTCTTTTTTCAGATGTGGATGTCTCTTCATTCTTTGTCCTTTTGCTTGTATGTATAAATTCATGTAGGTATATCAAGGCGTGAAGAAACATGGATTCTTGCAGCCTCATATGTTGGCAGAACAGGAAATAGTCATCACCACATATGATGTCCTACGCACTGAACTAAACTACGTGGACATCCCTCACAGCAACAGTGAAGATGGACGCCGTTTCAGGAACCAGAAGCGGTATATGGCTATCCCAAGCCCCTTAGTAGCGGTGGAGTGGTGGAGGATATGCCTAGATGAAGCACAGATGGTTGAATGCACTACAGCAAAGGTAAGGGAATATCCAGGGCATGTCTGTATTGAACTTGAGAAAATTTGATAAACTTATTTTTTTTGATTTAGACAAAAAGTACCGTACAGCTGCTGTTTTTTTGGTCTTAATATGTATTGCACATAAATAATTTGTCCTTGTAGTTTGTTCTTCAGAAGTGATGGATAGTTTACTTTCCCTTAGAGATATTTACTATTATATTTTTCCCTGTCAGAATTTGGGCAGACTGTGAAAAATATCTGGCTCAAAAAGTGTTTAACATAATCTATAGTGACAGTTTAAAGACCTGGGTCATCATGTCAGATATGGTGTTTGACAGTTTCAAGCAAGGCACGACCCTGTTCTGTGACATGGTTCAGAGGCATAAATATTTCCTTTGGATGAAGAAGTTAAAGTAGCACTATACAACAGGCTGACTTTTTTTCTCAACAGTTTGCAGAGGGAGGTTGCTTTAATTTTTTTTCACCTTGTAGCTGAAGATAAGGAGAAAATGCTATTTAAGTAACAGTTTTTACTGTTTTTATGCACGTGTGCACTGTCACTGCCTTCTTTTGTCTCAGATGCTTTATCCAGTTTGAATTAGATCTGTGATCATAGATCCTACCAGTTCTCAGGTGACAGTTTCATTTTTAAAAGATTAACCAGTCTGATGGAAGGGGTGTTTATGTGTCTGTATCGGCCTTATTAGTTTTCCATTGTGTAGTGTTATTGGCACTTTTTCAAAATGTGGTCCATGTTTTATTAGAGTGTCTCCTTCCTGTTTCCATTCATGGTTTTTTAATGTTGGTGTGGCAAATATAGGAATTGCTTTTTAGGTCCAAGAAATACCCAATGTAATTCTAGCAGTCTATTTATTGGTAGTTAGCAGCTGGAAGGAAAGAGAGCCAAGATCATATTTCCTAGGTAGGTAGCTGTCAGATGTATTGCTCTTCATGAATCAGTTCTTTCCTTTTACAAGTAGGGAAGTGCTGCCATTCTTGCCCACACAGGAACATGTTTCTCAGACCAAAATTTGTAAATGTTTATTGTGTTAAAGATAGGATTTCTCTGAATTAGCTGAAAGGTCAAAGGTCTGCCCAAGCCTAGTTGGCCCTGGTGTGGGCACACCAGGCAGTGATGTTGCTAGCACCTTTTTGTTTCCCCAGCCCAAATGACCCAAGTATATGTTTACCTATTCACAAGTCCAAAGCAGGGCTTAAACTAGGGGTGGGTAAAATGCTGCCCGTAGGCTGAATCCAGCCCACCAAGGGATTCTACCTGGTCTGTGGCTGCTCTTCTGAAGAAGTGTATCCATCTTGCAGCTACCCGGGTTTTGGTGCGTCTTGCCTTTCTCCTTTTCCCATGCCATAGCCGAATGCAGCAGCAACAGCAGGTTCAGCTCCAGTGACCAGGGAACCCCTCCCCAGCCTGGCTTACCTGCCAGCCCCCACTGTACACTCCAAGGCAGGGGTCACTGAGTTTTGTGGGCGGGCTTCTGCCTTGCAGTGTTTTCTGTGTGCTGCTTCGACCCTGCAGCTATTTGCAGACCAGACAGCCCAGCACCCAGTGAGAGTCAAAGCTCAGGTATGATTCTGCCCCCTGGTGGGGAAGAGGGCCAGGAGCTGCTGGTAACCCAGGCCTTGCCAAGCCAGCCAGGGCCTGGCAGGGGCACAGGTGCTGCTAACATGCCATGCTGTGTTCCCACCCACTGCTTTGGGCTGCACCACGTGAGCACAGATGGAGCAGATGGCACGGCTTCTGCATGAACCCAAGTATGTAGCTGGGTTGGGCAGGAGCCACACCAGCCACCTCCAGCTGTACCCACGTGGCCCAAAGTTGTGCGCAGGAACATAGCACTGCACCTGCCTGGCTGCATGCCAGGGGCTCAGGGCAGGCAGGGGGGTGCAGGGGGAGGCGGGGAACACAGTCCAACACTGGCTTGGCTAGGCCTAGATAACCCCTGGCTCCCAAACCCCTTCTCCTTTCTCTCTACACCCTTCTCCCCACCCTGAGGTCCTGGCACAATGCCGGACTAGTGCCACTCTGTGTTCTCACACACTGGTTTAGGCTATATGGGTGCAGCTGGAGCGGACTGGCACGGCTCCTGCCAGCTCGGCCATGTGCCAAGGACTCGGGCGGGGGAAGGGGTGCAGGGAGAGCTGAGGGGAGCTCATGTACATTTGGGTGTCTGCACACATGTGCCTAGCCCTATTTGTTTCCAGCTGTTGACTCAGTAATTCCCGAGCCATTGCAAGACACCTTCACCCTCCTTCATTAGCCCAGGCACAAAACCTTCTTGTCCACCTTTTTTCAAACAATGAAAACGTTCTGTTGATTGAAGCTCTCTATAGGCACCTGGTTAAGAAGGGCTTTATAAAGCTGAAACATATGGGCATCGTTCTTCAAAAGAAAATGATCTCTTTTTCTGGCCCTCTGGTTTTCTCATGTTTTTTAATTGTTTTCCTGTCTCCTTTCATTAGGCTGCTGAAATGGCACTTCGTTTGAGTGGAATCAACCGCTGGTGTGTCAGCGGCACTCCTGTGCAACGAGGATTAGAAGGTGAACTTTGCATAGCAATGTAATACGTGTAGCTTTTTTTTTTTTTGCAAAAATATGTAGTGGTTTGAAGGAGTTGCAGTTTCTACTGCTTTACAATTTGTAGGGAAGAAAATGTTTACACTGTATCCAGATATTCACCTGAAAGAAAGAAAAAGAATGAGAGGTAGTTCTAACAGAAATTTCTGTTGTTAGTCTTAATTTACAAGTTGCTGTGTGCTGCTTTCAGGTTTATACCTGACAAATTGAATTGTTTTATAAAGTATTTTGGCCTCAACATTACTTAACCTATGATTTAAAAAAAACAAAACAAAAAACACCCTGATATCTACTGGCCTAAATTGTGTCTTTAAACAATATTGGTAGAGCTCACCTAATAGTACCATTTATGCACAAACTATGGATTAGATATCATACAAAATGCAAGTCCTTAACCCTGATCTTTTGCCGTAGAAGGCATTGGGCCTCCTGAAAGTGAAAGACTCGAACCTGAAACCTGTAAATAAAGCCTAGTTGCCTGTTACTAAGATTAGAATTGAGATGTAGGCATAAATTTTGGTAGGTGAAATGATTTTATGACTTGGACTTTTATGCTTCCTCTCACAGGCTGGAACTCAAGCAGCCATATGAGTTAATGCAAGCTCAGGTTTGCATCTCAGGTTCCCACAATGAGTGAACAAAAAGGGATCTGAGACCTTTCCTTGCAGAGTGTGGCAATCTGCCACCATTAGAGAAACCTTTCAGATCTCAAATGTGGCCATTGGAACTACTCTACATCTTACCAAGTCTTTTTTGGATTTGCCTCACATGGACCAGTAACATCCTAGGCAGGAATATAAGGATCATCCTTCACTTTTATATAACTCCATTGTTATCACTCCTTTCATAAGTATTGTACCAAAATAAGATTCCAAATTAAGACTGTAGAAGTGGTAAAATCAGTCTTATTGCCACTGTCCCTGCAAACTGGACCCTTTTATCTTTTTTCCACAATTCACAGAGTGGATGGTTTCTCTAGGCAGCTTTCAAGCAGGCAAAGAGGAAGAAGCAATTCCATTTGGCATAATACTGATGGGCACAGCAGTATGTGTTGCCACGCAAGGACACCGAGGCAATTTTTTGGGTCTTAAACTCGTATATTTTCCTGTGTGCATTTGTGAACTAGGCCTCAAATTCTGAAAAATGTCAGTACTGGGGATTAATCCATGATGCACTCTGAGTGGGTTTAGTAATATATTGATCAACCGTAAGAATGTATAATTAAAGAAATTTCGAAAAAAATCTGCAGAAGGAGGTGACTATATTTATTGCCAGCAAACATGATAGATTGGGTCAATTATTTTCTCAACAGGAGAGAGAAAACATAGAACTCTAAACATCCTTAACATACTACCATACTTGCCTGCATTTTTTTTCCAGGACCCAGTTAACCAAAGCACTTAAGAGCATGTTTAATTCCCACAGTCTTCTGCTAGGTTTAAATGCATGCTTATATACTTAAGCAAAGTCCTGAAAAGGGATAAACTGCTAAACTGGGTCCCTGAAGAGAAAACTAAATTTGCCAATTCTGGTAGAGTACTTATTATTGAAAGTCTTTTAATGCCTTTGTCTGAATATTAAAATGTTTTCACAAGTGTGAAACTTATCTGAATTCAGTTAGGTCTGGGGTAATGATCATCTGGAGTCAAAACAGTGGTGGTGAGCAGCATTTGTGATTTTAATGATATTCTTGGACAAATTCAAAATCTTTATGCAGAGAATTGGAGGATATTTTATGTCCCTACAAAACAGGCGGGAACCTAGCACTTAATTTCTTAACACCGCTAAAGAATGATGAACTGAATTTACCCTTATGGTATAAAGAATTTAGGTATTTCATATCTAGTGATGTTACTCTTGAATTGATGATTTTAGCAGTGAAGACATTCTCATTCTAATATGTTTTTCTTTTGTCAGATCTATACGGGTTAGTTCTTTTTCTTGGAGTTGATCCTTACTGGGTCAAATATTGGTGGGATCAGCTTTTGTATCGACCTTACTGTAGGAAAAATCCTCAGCCTCTCTACAGCCTCATTGCCAAGATAATGTGGAGGTCAGCAAAGAAGGACGTGATTGACCAAGTAAACAACCTTTGAAAAATATTGTTTGTAAACAGTGCTTTCTCCAGGAACATTATTTGCATATTACTGTATTTATATATTTTTTCAGATTCAAATACCCCCTCAGACAGAGAATGTTCACTGGCTTCACTTTTCTCCTGTGGAGAGACACTTCTATCATCGCCAGCATGAGGTGTGCTGCCAGGATGCGTTGGTAAAACTCCGCAAAATTTCTGATTGGACTCTTAAGCTTAGCAGTTTGGATAGAAGGACGGTCACTTCCATTTTGTACCCTTTGTTGCGGCTGAGACAGGCTTGCTGTCATCCACAGGCTGTCCGTGGGGAATTCTTGCCATTACAGAAAAGGTGAATTTTTATCCCTACTTCATTTGGTCATTGGGGGTTTGTTCCCATGTCTACTGAAGTCAGAGGCAAAACTCTGACTCTAATGGTGCAGGATCAATAGTGAATACTGTTTAAACAGGAAAAGAATTATATCTGTATATTGAGTTACCTGATGCCAAGCTACATCAAGCTGTATTGGAAGCTCAGCAGGATCAACAGGGTTGTTTATTTCTAACAATTCCTGGGTGCAATACTGGGGCAGAATAGTAGCAGAGGTGTCAAATTTGCCATGAGAAACTAAACTGAGATTTTTCCATGTTTTAAGACAGGTAGAAAAATATCACAAGTTAAGTGTTTACAGTAAAAACATTGACATGTAGTCCAGAAAGGGTGGCCAATCTGTGGCACATAGATTGCCTCTCTGTGTGGCATACAGTAGATAAAGAAGGGAGTAGGGAACACAGTGACAGATTTGGCAGCAAGCAGAAAGCAGAGCAGCAGATCAGGCAGGAGATTGGAGTGGCATGCCTGCCAAAAGGGTTGGCCCCCATTGTAGTAGAGCTGAGAACTGAAACTTGAGAAATGAAACTTAACTTGGAAGGAGTCTACCCTAGGAGTATCATCTAACTCCTAAGATTTATTTTCTGAAAGAACAATGCACAAAGTGTCTGACTAGCACACAAAAGGTTTTTAAAAAACACACCACTTTGAATCTGGTGGTAATAAACTTACTTAAAATATGATTAACTGTTCAAAAGCTGTTTGCCTGCTTTCATGTACACATACTTCTCAATATCTTGCCATGTGCCCCACTAAGCCATTGTTGCAAACCTCTCTTTAGCCAAAAAGGGTTGATAATACTCCCCACAGAGCAAGTGCTCCTGCTTCAGTTAGAGGCAACTACTAGAGAGCAAGTATGTAGGTACATACTTGCATACAGGAGAGTGGACAGTCGCCTCTCTGGAGTCACTTGACCCCAGCTGTCTTTTTACCTAGAGTGGGGCTGGACTCAATGATCTGAGAGATCCTTTCCAGCCCCTAACAATCTGTGAATACTTCCATTGGAACAACTGAACACTGTCTGCTACATTTTTTAATCTTTGGTGCTATAGGATGCACAAAATTGAAAGTAGACTTTGCTGTGAATGTACTTCTGCATTTTTGTTGTATTGTTTTCTGTTCTCTCCACCTCTGATATGTCTGTTACTTTCTGTGTCCTCCTCTCATGCAGAGTACCTTCAGTGTTAAATTGTGCCAGTGCAACTGGAAACAATGCCAGTGTCTACTTGAACAGCTGCAGCAGTAGGCAATCTCTTGTATTTTCTTGCCTTGATACTCTTTAAAGTGTGGAAGTAGTGAAGTGGAAGATGGGAAAAATTCTCACCAGCTTGTACCTTGCTGATCTTTGAATGCTGCCCAGTGTTCCAGTGGCGTACAAGTTTAACATACAAACTGTGCTCTTGAGTGTACTTCGACTGCCTGAGCACAGATATTGAATTTCTTTGGGATGTTGATGGGTGATAGCAGCATAGCAACTGCAGTCGAAGACCACCAGTGAAAAACCAATTCCCTCTAAAAACATTGTGTTTAAGGAAAAGCTGTTTCCAGTTGCTGTTTATATATTTTCTTTTGAGCCAGTCCTATCTGCAAAGATGGACCATTCCCAGAATAAATAGAAGACTTGACTCCTGGCCTCGTTTATGTACTTGTAAATAGATAAAGAATTTTGTGCCAAAAAACCGATGAATAGGAGAATTGTACTGAAGCAAGGAAACTACATTTTAATATATTCTGGGGTAGATAGCATTAATTTTCTTTATTGGGTAAAGGTAGCAGGAAGGCTGTCTATTTTGTAAATATGTAGCCCTTTTTACAGGAAAACTATTAGATTTTTCTAAAATTTAAAATCAGGAATTGCTCTTGAAGTTAATTAGTAGTAGCAAAAGGATGGTTGTGTGGCTTGCTTTTAAACAAGTTCTTTGTAATTCTTGATTTTGAAAATAAAAACTTTATAGAACTTGGAAAAGCAAGGTGCAGCAGGCTGTATTCATATTTGCTATAGTACAGCTGAGAAACTTTTTAGCTTTGTATGATTTTAGTTTTAAGCTGATAGCATGCCTGCTTTTTCTACTGGAATGACTGTACAAGCATTGAAACTTTATCTCACAGGAAGAAATGCAAAGGAACTTCAGTTGGTATTGCAGCAGAGAGGAAAAGATGGGGACCCAGTGAAGGGTAGTCCTCCCTCCAACAGACCCTGAATCTAGACTGGGCAATAATGCTACCTTTTCCCCTCCACTGTATTCGCATGCATGCACGCAAGTACAGTTTCCTTCCATAGTACAGGGACCCAGTGAAGCACATACTCTCCTCCAAAATGTGTGGCAATGGGTAACAACAATTTCAAGTAGGGCCCAGCCCCATGGGCTAGAGAAACAATTTGGTAAGGAAGCCACCTTGGCTTGGACTGTTGAGCACTGATGACATCAGACTGCTTTGTATAGTTTTCATTTGGGTTATGTTCACCTCATGCAGATTGTTGCCTATGTCAGTCCTTTTTCCTGCCTGGACTTTTCATCTCAGCCTCACTCCAAGAATTTATGCTCTCTTTGTTTCCTGACTGCTTCTTCTTACCTTCCCTGCATTCCACTCTCTTTTGAGCTAATTGCCTGCTAACTGAATCCCATCCAAAGTTGCATCTCTTTGATCTCTACCTGTGTTAGAAAAGACGTATTAAAAAGTCTCTGGGGCATGGACTGTTGCCTGTTACTCATTTGTACTGTGCTTAGTACAGTGGCAGTACTGGTCTTGTTAGCTCCAAAGTCAAGGTACCTTTACGATAGCACCTTCTTTCTGGCCCATGAGAGACTGGTAGAGGTCTGTCATGCTACTGAAATAATTGGTCTTTGAGAGAAAATGTTTTTATAAATATTTATGTGTAGGTTCTTTCTCTGTAGGAATGGCAATTGCAATATAGGGGCTTGGAAACTATTGTTCTGTATGTAGGGCAGAATGCAGTTCATGACATTGGAATCCTCTGACAGGTCTAATTTTCACAAAGAGCTGAGGTATTTACCTTCCACTTTCCTGACACAGGCCCTATATATATACAGATCAAGGAAAAGCTGTTTTACACAAAATACTTACTGTGCAGCAAATTTGTATATTTGCATGATATTAGTTGTGGATAATGTGATCTGACCAAATTGATTTCCTTCTGTGATAAAGTGACAGGATCATTGGATGAGGGGGGCCCAGTGGACATGGTATATCTTGGCTTTAGCAACACTCTTGGCATGGTCTCCCATAAAATTCTTATTAGCTAGCTAAGGAAATACAGACTAGATTAACGTACTGTAAAATGGATACATAACTAGTTGGATCATCCTGCTCAGTAAGTAGTTCTCAGTGGTTCTGTATCTAGTTGGAAGGAGGCATTGAGTGGGATTCCCTAGGGGTCTGTCCCGGGCCTGATATTGTTTAATATCTTCATTAATTATTTGGATGATGGCATCAAGTGCACACTTCACAAATGTGTGGCTGACATCAAGTTGGGTGGAATTGCAGACACTCTAGAGGTCATGGCTGGGATTCAAAATGACCTGGATTAGAGAAATGGTTTGCAATCAGTTAGATGAGATTCAGCATAGAGAAGTACAAAGCCTTACATTTAGGACAGAGTAAGTGCATGCAGAAATACAGATTGGGAAATCACTGGCTAGGCTACAGTACTTCAGAGAAGAACCTGGGAGTTGTAGTGAACCGTAAGCCAATATGAGCCAACAGTATGCTTGTGTTGCAAAAAAGGCCAACAACACACTGGGTTGTATTAACAGGAGTATCGCTTGCTGATCAAGGGATGTGATTCTTTTGCTCTATTCAGCACTAGTGAGGCCTCACCTGGAATACTGTGTCCAGTTTTGAGCCCCACATTTCAAAAAGAATGTGGACAGTTTGAAAAGAGTCCAGTGCAGGGCAACAAAAACAATCAGGGGCCTAGGAGATGAGACTTACGAGGAAAAGCCGAAAGATCTAAGGGTTACTGAGTAAAGAAGAGAAGACTGAGGGGTCATTTCAAATCCCTGAAGGGTAATTATAGGTTAGATGAAGATGAGCTTTTCTCTGTCACTGCAGGGGACAGGACTACAAGCAATGGCCTCAAGCTGCAGCAGGAGAAATTTAGGTTAGAGATTAGAAGGAAATTTCTGAGTATGAGAGTGATCAGGCATTGGGACAGGCTACCCAGAGACGTTGTGGAATCTGCATCCTTGGAAGCTTACAAAAACAAGTTAGACAGACACTTGGGTTGAATGGTTTAGTGAGGGATGAACCTTCCTTGAGCAATGGGCTGGACTAGATGACCTTGTGACATCCCTTCTAGCTCTACTTTTCTATGATTCCTGCAGTCTTTAATGTAGACTGTAGGATACTGCTTGCAGAGTATTGTGTTTTATTTTGAGTTTGATTCATCTAATTCTTATTTCAGCACTATGACCATGGAGGAACTACTAACATCGCTGCAGAAGAAATGTCGAACAGAGTGTGAGGAAGCACATCGACAACTAGTGTGTGCCCTTAATGGCTTAGCTGGTATCCATATCATTAAAGGTAAAAGCAGATTGCTAGAGTGTATTACTTGACATCTTCTAATGGGCTAGGTAAGAATTTAGCTAACTTTTCGGAAAAATGGCCAGTTCACTGATTCAAGGGAGAAATGTAAAATAGACTCATAAAATTTGAGCAGCACGCAGGCAGCATCTGAAGCACCAACACATTTCCTCCTGACTGATAGGAAAGGAAGAGGTGCTGTTCTTGGAGGCTATTCATTGTCTTATTTGACAGCATTCTTTTGACAGTTTAGATTCATCCAGAGAGGGTAAAAGGAATACAAAAAGAATCTAATTCTGCTATTACATTGGTGAAATTCAGGTGTAACACCATTAAAGATAGTTTAGTTGCACATCTGGAAAATTGATGAGAATGAGGTGAATTAGATCCACTTTTTCTCCACCTTTGTTAAGCTTGTGATAGTGGATTTTTTTATCAAAGGTTTTCTGTGGATAGCAGAACTTCAAAACTGTCACTGGCAAGAAGCGAAATAGTTTAGAAAGTATGTATGGTGCTTAACTTATCAGGAACATTTTTCATTTGCTTTTTACTTCTAGTCTCTTTTTCTGCTTATCTGAAGATAATGTAAATCTTTGGCCTGTCCTTTGAATGTAGCTATGTTATTGTGTCTTGTTTCATACTTTCTATGAAATGTGTTTTTGAAGCTTATGTTGGTTTTAAAAACACCATGTAAAACTCAAAGGTAAGGTGACATTGTGTTGTGCTTTGAATATTCTATAAATTATGGAAACTTTTGTAATACTTCTGAGAAATGCTAGACGAGTGATTCTCAGCTAGGGTGCCACAAGATCCTTTGAGGGATGGCACAGGAAATATGAGCAGATAAGGGAGCTGGGAGGAGATAAGGGCATGGTCAGGTTTTCCCTGCGTGGCAGTTCCCCTCTTCCTGCTGCCTAGGCCTCTGCAAAGAGGTGAGCACAGTAATAAATTAGCTTTTAAACGGGGTGGTGTTCAGTTCACAAAAGATATGGAGAGGGTGCTTTGAGCCTAACAAGGGATGCCTTGAGTCTGAAAAAGTTGAGAACCACTGTGCTAGTGGTGTCGGGTAGCAAGACCTAAAGTTGAAGATACAAAAGGTGGCAGCGATGACCCCATTTTACCCGCAGATCTAAAGCAGTTGCTGTCTATACAGAAGATGGTAAGAAATGCAAGAAGTTATTATGTTACTTCAGCAATTGCTGTTTAGTTGAAGAAGTATTAGCATATAAATGGCAATTGTGTTAATGGCAGTTAGTTTCTAGTTGAAACAGAGCAGTTTTTTTTGTAAATTCTACAAGAAATTTAAAAAAATAAGGAAAAATAATACAGGATAAGGAAAAACTAGGAGAAATAAGATTATGAAAACACATGGAGGAGAAATAAGATTATGAAAACACATGGAGTTTGTTAAATGGAAATGCCTTCCCATTTGCATCTGTTGATTAGGTGTCATCCCACCAACTCTGAAATGTTTAATGTAATACTTAATAGTTTCTTGCAGGTCAAATAATATAAATCATTTTTAGTTAAGTAGCTGAATGAAACAGTCTTGTCAGCTTATGTTCAGTCATTCAAAGAAAAGTTTAACAAGATGAGCTGCCTTCCCTGTAACTTGGCCAATAGGAAGAGTGGGTTCATCACAACCCTTCTCATCTTCATTGAATAGATTTGAAATGAACAGTTTGCAGTGGCTTCTGGTCCTGACCAGAAAAGGAAGCGGGCACTTCATATACAATAAACACATTGCAATAATGAATTACCTCTTTTTTTAAAGAAAAAATGCGAAGAAGTACAAACATTAATTATTTCCCTAGGCCAGGTATATGGTTCTATACCCTTCACAAGCATTTTTTTAATACTGCTAGCAACTCAGAATTAATATAAAATATCAAAACCTCTGGTTCAAATAGCACTTTTCTAGGTATTTGAAAATGAAAAAGTGATTTCATTTTCTTCTGTCCAGGCCTCCATTATTTATGTCATATGGGCCACCACTCTTGTTGAGTTTTTCCAAGCTATTCATTCAGTTATTTGTTAGATACATCTTCCATTTGTTCTCAGGGGCCATGCAAACATGAATAAATTTTGCAATTTATTTCTGTATTGAAGTGCATGTGGTCATACAACCATAGTTTTTCTCTGAAAATTGATCATGAAAGTGGTACCTTACATTAACAAGTCTGATTTTTGTGCCTGTGCAGTCATATCTGCTTATCCAAATTAACCTTTTCTTAAATGTTTTGCTGTTGGTTTCTTCTTTGGCAATCCCTCACAGTGGGGGATGATCATCTTCCATTATTGTCTTATCTCTGTGTCCCAGAATGGCTGATGAGGCCTATCTGGGATCGAGAGACTTGACTGCAGCTCAGATATGTGTTTTTTGGTTGGGTTGGGTGGTGCTGAATTCTTGATTTGGTCTGCGACACCCCATTTCTGCCAGTCCTGCTTTTCTTTCTCCTGTTTTTGTTGTCAGGTTTCAAAGTACCGAGTTAAGTTTTGTGGGAGGGTAAACTGAACTGTGAGATAAGATGTACTATCAAGACAGATTCTTCATTACACCAGTGCAATATGTTGTAGAAGATTCAGGGCCTTGTTATACCTTATGCTGTAAGCTGCACAAATGTTAATTGGCTTAGTGTTGTTCATCTTAGTGGAGCAGTTACACCTTAAGGCAGAAAACCATCTCTGCCTGTCCTTCACCTGCGGGCAGCTGGAGCATGGTGGAGCTCAGTGATTGCAGGATGGCAGCCTGAGGCTGGTTCCCTCTGACCCCATGCTCTGCCAGGCTATAAAGGGTCTGGCCACCAGCTGGTTGGCTGTGTCACTTGGCCACTTCCCAAACCCTGTGGGGGTGGGAAATTCCTGTACCACGTGTCCCTCTGCCCCACCCTGTTCATGTTCCCAGGTAGTTGGGCATGAGCAGAGTGAGCAAGCTCTAGGACTGTGGCACTAGCTATGCCCAGTGGGAACAGCAAGCTGGTCCTGCCCCTACCTCCTGATCCTGGTCTGGGAACTGTGGCCCAAGTCTGTCCTGGGCATTTGGAGCAGTGAGCCAGTCTGAGAGGCACCATGGCTGCCAGGTGGTCCAGGGCTGTGGTGCTGGCTCTGCCCCTGCTGCTCCCGGGTATCCATGTTGCCCTGACTCTGGAGGGGCCACTGCATCCTGGGATATGGGAAGACTTCAGCTTGGGTGGTATAGCTGTGTGGAGTGGCCACACCGTAATGGACCTAATTAGGAGCAAATTTAGGCGGGCTAGAGATAATCTAGCCCTGGTGTGGCATAACTTTAAGCCAAATAACAAGCATTTCAAGCCACTTAAAGTTGTTAATGTATAGCCAGTCCAGGGGTTAAGAGCTCCAGAAGCTGCCTAAAGTTACCTTGTAACAAGCCCCTCAGTTTGTCTTAATGGAAAATTTGAACTTCATGGGCACATGTAAATGCAAACAAAATGACCTGCAAAATCCTGCTTGACTTTGAGTCTTCCAACAGACAGTTGCAAAAAAACCTCACACTTAACTTGAAATCAGACTGTTTGCCCTGGAAGGCACAAACATCGTACTCTGATACCAGTCTTACAAACTTATTTTCCACATTGAACTTTCATATAGGGCAGTGTCAACTTGGGCCTAGGGAGGCCTACAGGTATAAATGATACTTTATCTGATGTGCTTTAATAGATTTTTTAAAAATAAAAATAATTTTAAAAGCACATGAAAATAGTCTTCTGAAAATATCCTACACAAATTTCAGGTGATGGCCACTCCTATCTATTTGGAAACAAAAATCCCGTGTTGGATATAAATAGCTTTTAATTCTTTAGGTGAATATGCATTGGCTGCAGAGTTGTACAGAGAGGTGTTGCGTTCTTCTGAAGAGCACAAAGAAAAGCTCAAAACAGATTCCTTACAAGTAAGTACGTGTTCAGATTCAATGGCATTTTTTAAGTAAATTTTCCAGCTTTTTCTTCTTGCACATCTTGGGTTCCAGCAAAATTTTGATGCAACTGTTTTTCACAGTTGATTTACAAAGTGATACTGGTAGTATGTTCTTTATGATCTATGAGAACTGTCCACCTAAATATCTTTGTAAAATTGGCCCCAAAGGGTTTGTAATGTTTAATAATTCTCTAAAGCATTAAGTGAGAGCTCCACCTGCTGTTCTGCTCTAAAATTTAACAAGCTTATTCCTCAAGTTTGGCATATGACTGTTGCCTTCCTGGTGCTGGCTTGTAGGCAGAAGTAAATAGAAGGAAGCCATGATGGCTTCTGTATTAATGTAAGTACAACCAAATGTAGGGAAATCAGATTTTTGTTCTGGCAAGAAATGTTATTTCTAAAAGAACAGGAAAAAAGAAAAGACCTTTAGAATCCTATGCATGTATATCTATAGAAAGAACAGGTACTCCTAATGACATTTTCAAAGACGTGTTTGACAAGGGTAATTTAGATCTACTTTTTGTGTTAGAACTATGACATGTTTGCATATCTTGTAGTGGCCAGTGTAATTGGCTAGTTTACTAATTGTTTTCTTAGTGCTTGTGGCCACCAAAAGAATTGAAGTATTGTTTTAGATCAGGGTTGCTCAGGGTTCTCAGTGGAGAAAAAGGGGAGGGGGAGGCAAACAGCAACAATGGCTCAGCTTCTGCACTTCAGAGCCATGTGGAAACTTTGCACCTGGAAGGGGAAAGGCTGTAGAGACCCACCCTTGGGTGACCCACGCAGGCACCACACTGTTACAGCACCTGAAGAAAGAAACAATGTTTATTTCAGAGAAAGTCCCACTGCTCTGGGACAGAGCATGATCTTACACCCACTGTGATAGAAGTATGGCATTGGAAAGCTCAGGGAGGCAAGGTTCAGTGATGCCAGCTAGGCAATCTCAAGGTGTCCTCTTTTCCCACAGGCTTGAGATCCCACCATCTTCCACCAACATTAAGAATCTGGAAGCCAAACAGCTCCTTATAAATTAATACAAGCTGATGGCTCATCAACCTCAATCCCAGCTGCTGAATAGGGCACTGAGCTGGGCACCTCACCCCTTGACCTCACTCCAGCCCAGTGTGGACAGTTTCACTGCCTCCTTTGTCATGCACAACAGGCCCTTAGCAAATTTAATTATTTTTATAAAATAATACTACAGAATCTTGAACTTTTTATTTTGTATTAATAAGACTGGGATAACTAAAAATGTATCTTTTCTTTTCTAATATAGTTTAAATGCTTCCTATTAGGGTATGACAAATTATAGAACTATAATGTTTTTCTTTGTAGCTCTTGGCCTATTTCTGCTTTTAAGATTTGTTTCACTTGTTTTTTAAAAACAAAGGTTGAACACCAATATTTTAGATCAGGGGAGCTCAGCCCTAGGTCTGTGGGCCAGATTCAGCCCTCAACAGTATGTCATATGGCCCGTGGGATGCCCCTCAAGTGGGTAGGGGCCCAGTGGCCATCATGGACCTGCATGCTAAATCAAGCATTCAGGGTGGGGTGGGGCCTTGATCCTGATATGCGGAGACTGATGTGACCTGTGGGGCCAAAAGGTTGAAAACCATTGTTTTAGATCATTGTACTGTATTTGCATTATTCTCATGCAGGACCTTGCACATATGTAGTAGTGCTCCTCCTACAGCCATGTTTGTAGTATCCAATAATATCTTTGGTTTATTCATTCAAGAAGGCTTTACTTTTCATATTAATTGTACCTGTATTATTGTATCATATGGCAGCCATTAATAGAACAATAACTATGCCAATTGAGGTATATTTGCAAATTTAAGAAAATGGCAAAAGCTCTTAGGCATTGCCTTGAGTTCAAACTGTTGGCTTTTGTAAAGTTTGTCTATTTAAAGTAAATCTAAACAATTCTTTCCACATTCCTTTTGACAGTCATTCTAAACAAATATGCATTAAGGTAAATGACTTGCATCTGATAGGAAGTAATGACACAAAATCAAAGGGCTGAGAATTTTTCATTGATTTGTTGTGAAACCTTGGAGAGGTCAGTTTTGTTCTGTGTATTTGATTTGTATTACACATACAGTTTGGACATGTGCATTTGGAGTCCTTTTAAAGAAATCATTTTAAAAGGGAAGCTCCTGATCCAGAGTATGCCTCAGCAGTTCTGTTCTGATAATTTAAGCGCGTGGGAGCAAGGAGCAATACAAACGTAGGAAAACAGCTCCAATTTGAACTCCGTATGAAACAGTGTGAAAGTTGGAGCTAGCTAGGTTTTCTATACATATATTGTTTCTAGGTGGCACACGCAACTGTTAGAATATAACAGCTTTTCCAGAGTTCTGAGTGAAAACTCCCCAGCCCTTTTTGAAATGGTTTTAAGTGTGCATTTATCCATATCCAGAGATGTTGCTCACCCACATTCCTAAAATGATTCCAGATTTACAGAGGAGAATCCTAGCTTTACAGGATTTTGTATGATCTTTTTCTGGTTCACAAAATGCCTATAGGATTTGACTGCTGTCATAATAATATGGTACATTGCTGTGTGATTATTGTTGACTTTGTCTGTGTATAGAGACTACATTCAACACACAACCTCATGGAACTGCTGGTAGCGAAACATCCAGGGATACCACCAACCTTGCGAGATAGCAGGCTTGAAGAAGAGGTGATTACTGTTCATTTTTTATGCAAATACATTTTTGAGAACAATGTGGGGGGGGTTGTTTGTACTTCTGAAAGAATGTAACCATCTTTGGCTTACAATGCCATGTCATCTTTGACTTACAATGCCATTTCAAAAAATGAAATAAAATAGGTGACAAACAGGTTAACGGACCTGTTTTTCATTGATCTGAATATTGATTTCATTTGATTGATCACATTTTTTTCCCCAATGGTACAAGCCTGTTTACAGGAAATTTCAAAAGCTGATCACCAAGGCTTCTGTTTTGCAAATGTCTGTGCAGGAGTAGTTTCATAGGCACTTAGGACATTTCTGAGTGTAAAATTAAGTACATTTATAAGTGCTTTCAGGTTTGGGGTCAGATAGTACAATATGCAAATAATTAAAAACTGAGAAAAGGAAAAACAGCAGGTGAAGCCAGTTTACATGTTTTAATTTATATAACTTCTGCTTGAGGAATCTGTCACACCAACATGTTTTTAAAAAGGGACTTGCTGTCTAACTTGCTACGAAATCTTGGTTGGGTGTATTTGCTTTGACATTGAAATCCTAGAATACACTGTTCTGTGACAGTGCATGTAACACAAGTTTTACTGCACTATACAATATCTCAGAGTGCCAGTCTGTGGATATGCCACATGAATAAGTTATCATGAGGGAATGTAGGGTGTAAACTTGGTGTGTTAGCTATTCCGTAGTCCCTGCCCATGTGCACACTTTGAGCCTGTGGTAAATTAAGGTTCCTTGAGGTGGCTTGCCTCTCTTTCATTGAGACAGGAGTCACTTTGCATTCGCCATGGCACACTGTCAGTTATGTGAGAGTAGTTACAGAGCTGTAAATTCATACTCAAATTTATCTTAGTCTAAGGGTACTGCAAGGTAGCTACAGTAGAAAGACATGGTGAAAGGATGTGTCGAACGTTATATCACCTCCTGGGTAAAATTTTAGAAAGTACCTGTATTTGAAGTTTTCAAAGTAGCTTCTCTTGGGTCAGCATAATTCATTATCCAACTATCTCCCTCTTCTTAATGTTGAGCTCATGAGCACATTTTTTTCCTCTTTACTGTTTCCTGCGACTTCTTTCTACTTTTCTTTTTGTCTAGTATTGGATTTGTATAAGATGCCTTATAGCCAGGAAAGGAACAAAGCACCAAGGATTAGTCTTTTTAAGCCATGTCCTCAGGGTTTGTTTTAAAACCTACAAACAGTAACAAGACAAGAGCAGATCAGTTGGAAAACACCGGGCCATTATTTCCCAAGCATTCCCTGCTTTTGGCAGAATGGAAAGAAGAGAAATGAGCCACCCCTTTAGGATTTGTCTGTGCAGGGAAGTTAGTCTGTGATAAACTAGGGTTTGGATTTTTCAGCACACAAACTTCTACTGTGCTAGTCATGTGAGCACTAAGTTTCTCTATGTTGTGTTAGCTTTCTGTACTTTGCAGTAGCTCTCAAACACAGAGCTCTTTCAAGACACAGTAAGCTATCTTGCACTTACTGTATATTAAAAACTGTTACATCAGGGGTGTGTGCAAAGTAGCTAGTGTACCTGTCAGTTCATATCCTAGTTTACTGTGCACTAACCTATATGTAGACAGGTCCTTAGTTCACCTTTGATTCAGATTCCTCTTCCTTTTATGCTGTCCTGACAGAATAAGTAGCAGGCTGGGGGACCTGTTAAGTCTTAACAGGCTTCAGTGTATTCTTACACTATTTTGGCCACAGTTGGCCACAAATAGTGCTAGAATATTCGGTAATAAGTGTTTATGTATTGTTCTCATGTATCTCTATCACTGCACTGTTAGTTGACTGTAATGCAGCAATTATAGAAGTGATGAGGGTTTGAAATTAACGTATGCATTATTTCAAGATGGAGAGGATATACTATAAAAGATATATATGCTAACATGCTTTGATCACAAAGTGGAATGGTTTTTCTCCTTGCAAAGACAGCTCTGCTTTAAAACACTTTATATATGATGCTTTCCAAAACACTAAGTAAAAAATGTCCTGAGTTCACTACAGAATCGTAGAGAATTAGGTTTGGAAGGACCTTCAGAGGTCATTTACTTTAACCACCTGGTCAAAACAGGACCATCCCCAACTATATCATTCCAGTCAAGGCTTTGTCCTGCCGGGTCTTAAAAACCTCCAAGGATGGAGATTCCACAATCTCTCTGGGTAACCTGTTCCAATGTTTTACTCCCCTCCTAGTGAGAGAGATTTTTCTAATATCTAACTTAAACTTCCCTTGCTGCAACTTGAGACCATTGCTCTTTGTTGTGCCATCTTCCACCACAGATAGCAGTCTAGCTCCATCTTCTTTGTAAACACCCTTCAGGTAGTTGAAGGCTGCTATTAAATCCCCCATCAGTCTTCTCTTTTCTAGACTAAATAAGCCCAGTTCCTCTCCTCATAAGTCATATGCCCCAGCCCTCTAACAGTTTTTGTTGCTCTACGCTGGACTCCAATTTGTCTTCATCCTTTCTGTAATGGGGTGGGAGTGCAAAACAGTACTCCAGATGTGACCTCACTAGTGCTGAATAGAGGTAAAGAATCACTTCCCTTGACGTAATTACAACACTCCTACTAATGAAGTCCAGTATGCTGCTAGCCTTCTTTGCAACAAGGGCACACTGTTACTCATATTCAGCTTGTCTACTGTAACCCCCAGATCCTTTTCTGCAAAGCTGCTGCTGAGCCAGTCAGTCCCGAGCCTGAGCTAAAAGAGCAGGTCTTCTGTTGCTGGTTGATGGATTAGTGAGGTGGTGATTAAGTGTTGGAGAGTGGGGCAAGTAGAAGTCCAATTGTCCTCACACATACTAGTGTCCCTTCCTCTGTTGATTTAATTGGATTCACTCTTGCTTTTATGCTAGTATATGAGAGCAAACTCACTTTTGTTGTATAGCTCTTCAAACTAGGATGGGTTTAGAAGAGGGGCAAACTGAGGCACTCTGTGTTACAATGCAAGGGGGTCATGGGGATAGGGACTTAATAGTGGGTGTCTACTACAGACTGCCTCACCAGGGGGTTGAGCTGGACGTAGAATTTTCAGGTCAGCTCACAGAGGCTGTAAGGACAAGGGATGTGGTTGTCATAGGTGACCTGAATTACCCAGACATCTGCTGGGAGGATCAGTCAGCCAGGTCTGAATGCTCACATAGGTTTTAAGCCTGCATACAGGACCTCCACCTAACCCAGAAGTACATAATCCCACCAGAGGAAATGCCTTGCTGGACTTGGTCTTTGCCACAGGCTATGTGACCTGGTAAGGGATCTATGGGTGCTCGACTACCTAGGCATTAGTGACCATTGTCTTCTGGAATTTACTATCTGGCGCAGGGTGGTGAAAGCAAGTGGTAAGGCAAAAGTCCTTGACTTCAGGAGGGCTGAGTTCAGTGAGCTAAGGAAATTAATGAGAGACATTGGGGACTCGGAGCTTCAGTGAGATGGGAGTCCAGGATGGGTGGTTGTTCCTTAAGGAGACGATCCTCCGAGCTCAGAGGGAGTCAGTCCCAACGCAAACCAAAAGGGCAAGTGTGCTAAACAGCCCCTTTGGCTCAGTAAAGGCATCCAGGAGGGCCTGAGGGCAAAAAGGGTGGCATACAAGCAGTGGAAGCAAGGGGCAATCACCAAGGAGGATTATACCTCCATTGCTCATGATTGCAGGGAAGCAGTTAGGATGGCTAAAGCAGAGCTTGAACTAGGGCTGGCGACCAGAATTAAGGATAACAAAAAGTTCTTTTTCAAATACATAGGGAGTAAGAAGAAGGCGCCAGGTAACGTGGGTCCCCTACAGTACAGGCTTGGCAATCCGGTGACTTCAGCAAAGGAAAAAGCTGATCTCTTCAACTAGTTCTTTGCCTCCCTATTTCTGAGCAGGGACCGGGACAACTACCCCAGTAGGATTACAGACAGGCTCAGGAGACATGACATCATGTCTGGGGTCAGGGACGATCTAGTTAGGGAACTCTTGGAGGGGCTGGATGTGTATAAATTAGCAAGTCCAAATGCTCTTCATCCATGGGTACTGAGGGAATCGGCGGAGGTTGTAGCAGGGCCCCTGGCACAGCTGTATGAGCACTCATGGTGCTCTGGCCAGGTCCCAGAGGACTGGAAAAGGGCCAATTACAAGAAGGGGAGAAAGGAGGGCCTGGGTAACTATAGCCCATTTAGTCTCACCTCAGTCCTTGGGCAGACCGTTTACAAAATTATCAAGGAACATATCTGCGGGGACCCAGCATGGGAGGTAACCCTCAGGGGCAACCAACACGGGTTCATTCCGGGCAGATCCTGCCTGACTAACCTTGTCTCTTTATATGACCAAGTCACAAAGTCCTTAGATGTGGGCATTGAGATGAATGTTGTCTACCTGGACTTCAAGAAGGCCTTTTGATACTGTTTCTCACCCCATTCTCATAAAAAAACTAGGTGACTGTGGCATTGATGCCTACACAGTCAGATGGGTGGCAAATTCGTTCAATGGTCGTGCCCAGAGAGTGGTGGTGGATGGGTTGTTTTCGACCTGGAGGGATGTGGGCAGTGGAGTTCTCCAGGGCTTGCTCCTCGGGCCTGTGCTATTCAAATCTTTATCAGCGATTTGGAGGTTAGCGTGGAAAGCACACTGTCCAAATTCGCTGATGACACAAAGATGTGGAGAGAGGTGGGCACATTGGAGGGGAGGGACAGAATCCAACTAGATCTAGACAAATTACAGAAGTGGGCAAATGAGAATAGGATGGAATTCAACGCAGACAAGTGCAAGGTGCCGCATCTAGGGAGAAGAAACCTGCAACATACCTTTCAGTTGGGGAACACCCTTCTCAACAACACAGTGTTGGAAAGGGATCTTGGAGTCATTGTTGACTCCACAATGGACATGAGTTGCCAGTGCAAGGAAGCGGTCAGTAAGGCTAACCACACCTTGTTGTGCATCTACAGATGCATCACAAACAGGTCCAGGGAGGGGATCCTTCCCATCTAT